CTATGTTGGAATCTCATACAAAATGATAGAAAAGTATATTTTTTGACATTTCTATAAAAGTACTTAATTTAACTAATTAGTTGGAAATCACCGAATTGTTGTTAGTATTGTGTTATTTTATATGGTCGTATTTTAATGATTTCAAAATTGGAACATGTATTTTTATGCTACAAAGAAGACGAAGAAATATATTATAAAAAAAGTTTTAGTCATATGCCCAAGTTTTTCGCTAAGCGATATATTTTACGTATCGATCGTCTTAACCTTAAGATATCGATGGTTTAACGATTCATTTTTATTAATGTAAGCAAAGTACCTATAGTATTGGTGAAATGTGTACCTTATATACTTTATATTTTGCTGAGATCATGACGAGCAGTATTATATTGCAAAAAATCAAAACTTCGCCGCCCAATACCCACTATTCTTTTAAAAAAAAATTCAGCAGTATTTTTTTCTTCAGATCTAAAAAGTTTCACTGAACTATGTATTCTAGGTATCTATCAGAAAAATTTTCAAAACATTTATTCAGAAAAAAAACATGTATAAAATATAAAATTAAAACATTTTAATTTTCTTACATTGCAGGTGCAGCCCTACAAGCTTAAAGCCAAGAAGGTCGCCATATCGTCGTCTTGAGTGGTCACTGCGACCGCTAATGTTACTCAAAGGACCAGACGCACATCACTATACACTTTAGTATAAGTACATTCATCCACATCCCCTCCCTACGCAATAATTAATTAATTTAACAACCTCTTGTTACCATTACCATAGAGTTGGGGAATTGATTTCTTAATTGCTGTCAATTAAATGTTTGAAAGAAAGAATTTTATTCTCATAAAAGTTTTTTTGTTATATAATAAATACAGACCTTTGGTAATGACAACGGGTGTCTGAAAATTATATATATTTATAAATAGTAGGTACCTATAATAAATAGTATTTATAGTAGATACGTTTTTTTTTAATTTATATATTATTATATTAATTATATAATTTTTGCTTTTATATCCCATACGAAAAATTTTAGAAAAATAATTCAATAAAAAAAAATTCAAAACTGTAATGTGTTATAGTAATTGTATAACTAAGCTATCTATGTTTGATTTGCAAACATGATGATATGTTAAATATTATGCAACCTTTAATGTCATTGGTTGAATAATTAAACAGATGTGTACCTACAAATACAATTTGTGTTTTTTTACCGTAGTTAGCCGGAGCTTGCTTTCTTGATGTTTGTTTTGATATCTCTCTCGTTATATGACCTTTTTTTATTGGTAGTTTTATTGAATACAAAGAGTAATGTTTTTTTTAGTAGAATACTTAAAATGTGTACTTATACTTATCTTAGTAATACTTTTAAACAACTGTGATGATAAAGTTGTCTTGTAATTCATGTGAAAAAAGTCCTCTTGCAGAAGTGAGGCAATTACTGGCTGGTGATAACGAAGATGTGTTACGTAATAAAACATAGTTATTTGATTTGCGTTGTTTTCTTTGGTTTTTTGTATGAGTAAGTACATCCCTTTTACACAAACATAAATGGAAACTTATGTACAAAACTGCTTATAGGTAGGTAAAACTGCTTACCTACTATTAGAGACATTATTTGGTGCGACTTGCACGCCCATTGTTACTTTCTTTTTATAAAACTGATAATCACTCTGGAAACTTATAAAAGAAAATATAATATCGGACTTTTTATAAACCTGACAGTAAAAATCATTTATGTAAGTATACATAGGTCGATATCAATCCGAAATCTGTGGATAGAGACAGATTTTATTGGGGCTCTTTGGAGTTTCTATTAAAAAACTTAAAAGCTCCAGATATTTTACATAGGTTATTAATAAAACATCACCCAATATGATTTTATGATTAAAAAAAATACAAACTAAGTTATTTATATTAATAAAAATTTGTTTGCATTACTATACATAATCGTTGTAGATACTCAGAATCATTTACGATTTACGGCCTTATTACATTATAAGTTTTTGTAAGTATTTCAAATTGAAGGTAGGTGAGAAGAAGATTCAAAATACAAAACCTGACTCAATGATTTACACCTACACTAAAGATATATCTTGTTTTTAACCGACTTCAAAAAAAGGTCGAGTTTCTCAATAAGTCGGGATCTTATTTTTGAACAAGGCGTTAGGTATGTTAAAGACACTTACATTTCTAAGGACTAGGTGATGGGTGCAATTGTTTTCTGATCAAAATTGTTTTTACGAAATAGTTCAAGTAACTACTTATACAAAACATGAATAGATAAAATGTCTCTTAGCACAGGAATTACAATTTCAGAATAATAAAAATACTTAGTATCGAATCCTGAAATGATATTAATATTTGGTTTTTATATGTGGCTTTTGCCCATGACTTTGTTTGCGTAGAATAGTGGCTTCCTGCAAATTTTTGGGTATAAAAACTATCCCGTGTCCTTTCTCAAGTTCCAAACTATGTCTGTACTAAATATCACAGAAATCGATTCAGCAGTTTAGGCGTGAAGAAAAGACTGACAGACAGACAGAGTTAATTTTCGTATTTATAATATTATAGTTTAGATGTACTATGTGTAGATCAAAAACATCATGTCTGTGAAGCCAAAATTAATTCAATACTAAAGTTAAATACAAAAAATAATAGTTTATTGCACATTTTTAATTTTTCAATCAAATAATGAATTAGGTAACACGGAATTCAAAATTTTGGGATAAAAGTGAATGATTTTTAGTCCGTAATAAATTAAAAAATTGCCGATAAATTGCTTTAGAAATTTAAGCTTTTTTAAATGATTGGCGGCAAACTTTCAGACGGATCACCTGATACTAAGCAATCTGCGCCTCCCGTGGAAGGCGACAATAAGGAATTTACGAGTGTGTTGCCGACTTTTAGGTTAGGGATTAAGCTTTCAGAGATTTAGAGATTGGGGCAGGGGAAGAAGAAGAAAAAGAAAAAAAAAAAAAAACTCACATGACGAAACACAACAGATAACCTGTTTTCTCACCAACGCTGGTTTTCTATGCGACCAAACGACGAAGAATGACTCTCCCATAATTACTTAGTATATTAGTATGTAAATAAAACATTACACTATATTACTAAATAGCTTTAAGATCAGCAACAAACAACTACCATATAAGCGCTACCTAGCGGCAAATAGTATTATCATAATTATCAGCGCCATCTGTTGAAGGGTAGTAAACACGTGACTCTAGTGGCTAATAGTTGAACTAAATTTTAAACTCCCATCTATTATTGAATAGCTAAAACAAAAAAATACAAAAATATCAGTTACAGGTTTAACACCTATAATATAACTATTATTTTCTACGTTGAATTAATGATTGCTATAGACAAATTATTTCGAACATAATAAATAACAAATACTGGCACTGATATTTGTCTATTTGACTCCTGTGGCCAATAAATATGGATCGGATTTATATAAAATCGTATGAAAAACATACATAAATATTTTATATAGCGGTTTAAAATAGAGTTAAGTATTGCTACTACATATCTGATAGGTATGAGTTTATTCATCACACCATGTTTTGAATGAAATAAAAACTTAAAATTCAAATAAAAACTTTTTTATACCATAACCTCTAAAATTTGTGGCCTGAAATCAAACAGAAAGAAAGAATAAAGAAAGTAATACATCAAGAATGACTTTGAACATCGTTGATTTTCTTTTGTAATAAAATTTATTATTTTCAAAGACACTGTTTACCTATTTCAGCAATTTTATTTACCTAATTCAATAACAAAAAATGTTTAGGAGAAACGCAACAACGATACGAGTGGTAAGTGGAATATCCGAGAATTTAAGTAAAAATAATTTTTGCAGGCACATATTGTAGGGGAAAAAACCCCTTGATTGATATAATATGAACTTACATAATAAACTATAAAGAGACGACGCTGACTTTTAAAAATTACCCATGGCTACCGTGTTGATACCCAACTTAATAATTATTAGTTAATAACCTCCTTTTAGCTATATACTATTGTGTACACATATAAATATATATGTAAATGGTTCTTAAAGTGAAAATAATATTCCATCTGTTCTATATTCTGCTATGGAGCAGCTTGGAGCTATTAATTATTTCACCCTCAACTGTCCAAGAAGTCAAGTCGAAATAAGACAAGGACAAGTAAAGTACGCAAAGGATAGTCAATATGCCAGAACTGTAGGCCAATTGATAGGCCAAATAAATAATTATCATTAAGTTTTGGGGATAGATAAAAGAAACTATATATTCCAGGTTTTTAAAGGAAGGAAATATATATCAGGGTCGCCGTTGAACACGACCCACATAATATACAGGCGATATCACCCACCTACCCAGTTGCAGTATTTGGCGTAAGTGAATTTTTCTTTTATTACCAAATTCGTCATCATCATCATCATCATCATTATCAGCAGCCTATAAGTGCCCTCTGCAGAGCAAAGACCTCTTCACACAGAAGAGTCAGGATTGAGCATTGGTGGCTCAAGGTGGCTTGGCGCTTAATTAGAAATTATAAGTTCAATCACCTGTCCTTAATTCATCAAACCACAAGCGAACCGGGTTTTCACCCCTATTGTTCTTCTATGGTGTCTCGAATTAAGGTTAAACGCTTCTTTGAGAAGTGTCTAGAGTGACTCCTTGGTCCTTACGTGGCACGGAAGCACCATGGTCCTTACGTGGCACGGAAGTTTCTTCAATACCTACCTATTTCGGATCCGGTGGGAGGAAACGCCAGAGTTTTGCTATTTGGAGGACCACTCAGATAACACGGTCTCAGAACCACCGAGTCCTCAAGAAAGTGGTTGGCGGCGATCTGTTACGGAGTAGGGTGGCACACTAGGAAACGTTTTACCTAATGGGAAGCAGAAAAAGAAGTGCACCTGTGGAATCCTTATTCACATGAATCACAACATAAACGTCATCCCAGTGACGCGTTTAAAAATGTTTTATATCTTTGCCTTTTTTCAGGTGGAAAAACACACGCTCGCCAATAACTATGCAGCTGTCCCGAAGATTGCACACTTCACCAGTTCTGAGCGGCGAAGAAATTGTATCGGCACCCACTTTCCCTGATTCCGTCAGTAGTGGAGATGTAAAGTAAGTTTTTTTATGTATTTTTATTTGTATGCTGTAAATCGGCGCCATATGCTTAAAACTCACAATGGCTTGAGGACCCAGTAACAACATTTAGTTTAGCATCACCGATTATGCGATTCAAAATTTCTATACGTACGAATAGGTATGTCAAGGCGAAAATAAAAATTTCCCTTTTTTTTCTTCGTACCTAAATCCGTATGTCTAACCTTTTAACCGGGTTCACTGTTAGTGCAGCGATAAAACTTATCTTTAAGAGAGGCTAGAAAGGTGTCCGTATTGTTGCTTGTCTTCGGAGAAGCTAGTGGCGCGGCGGCCTCAAGCGCGAGTCGGTTCAGTTCAGTTCAGTGCAGAGAAGAACTGGAAAGCCATCTACTTTTCGGCGCTGTAGTCATGTACGCAAAGAAGGGGTGGAGCACGTAAGAGCACTATCCTCCTCACGCCTCTGCCGCCGCAAGAACCAACTCCATGCATCATTTCACGGAATAGTCATTGACATGATTTTTCCACCAGAAAAAATACCTACAACACCATATATTTTTACAGAAGCCTTCTATACAAAATTATGTTTGTGCCTAACTCGGATAGTAGGTAAGTATGCCTACCTACCTTCGAGTCAAAAAAGGCCACCATTCTAACTGGCTTTATTCTCGAAGAAAAATAGACCTGAGACTATGTCCTAAGTCCCGATAAGACTTTTGCTACGAGGCAGTAACGTAGATACAACTTTTTTCAGATTTAACAAGAAGGAAGGTGATGCTGTTGCAATGGATGAAGTGATCATGGAAATTGAAACGGACAAGACTGCGCTGCCGGTCATGTGCCCCGGACATGGCGTCCTAACAAAATTCTTCGTTAAACAAGGCCAAGCTGTCAAGTCTGGACAAAAACTGTTTTCGGTCTCGTATTTTTCTATTCTTACGTTTTGGTTTAAGGGCTGATTTTTCAATAGTCTATTATCTATTCCTCAGATAATAAATGTTATCTGAGGAATAAAATTATTGCTTTCACTGTCTTATACAAACTTTCTGCCGCGACAACATCATAATTATTCTCCAGATGACTGGATTAGCATCCTTATGCTTAATTATAAAAAATATACCTACTACAATAACATCTTACAAAAGGAAAGTTTGAATTCGATGCGTATTTAAGCGTATGGTGTTCTTTATAACAGGTTAATGTGACTGGTGTGGCTCCGGCGAAGGCCGCAGCGCCCGCAGCAGCGCCTGCAGCACCGGCACCAGCGGCTGCAGCCCCCGCCGCCGCGGCCCGCCCCGCAGCAGCAGCTCCTCGCGCCACGGCTCCTCCTGCCGTCGTCAAAAGCAAAGCAGCAAAAGCAAAACCTCCAGCTGTAATTATAAGCTGTAATTCGTGATGGCCTACTTCGTCATATATGAGATTTAGCGAAAACCTAATAGCTAAAGCTAATTTGACCCAAAAAATAATCCCTCGTTTTCGTTCAGGTAACTCTTACATGATTATCACTCATCCAACTGATATGAAAGAAAATGATCCTAAAATCATCAATCCTAAATACGATTTTTTTTTAAATACCTAACTGTCACGAGACATGCTGACTATATTTTTGAGAAAAGCTCAAAAGTTTTTAGTCACACCGGGGCTCATATTCATGAGGGCAAAGAATTTCAACAAACCCTTTTCTCTTTAGTTAGGGGCTTTGAGGATTGCTGACCCTACGAAAGCAATATCGGGCACTCGCACCGAGCACCCGGTGCCTATGAATAAAATGCGCAAACGCATAGCCGAGCGACTGAAAAACGCGCAGAATACGACCGCCATGTTAACTACTTTCAATGAATGCGATATGAGGTATGCCATTTTATTTATTGACATTGAACTAGTTCTACCTTTCAATACTACAGAACTAATACTGCAGCTATGTCATTTATGACTGTTTAAAACCATTGACGTTTTTTTGATTTAATTTAATTGCGATAAGTTGTTGGTTAAGTCTTTGATTCCTGTTAAAGGCAAATCTTCCGGATATATTCCCTTTATGTCGAGTCCCGTTACGTCGAGCCGAAAACCTTGTCTCGCTTCTATTACCTCTACGTCGAGTTTAGTTTTCTGTCCCGCTTCTATTCCCTTGATGTCGAGTTTATTTACCACGCTTTTATTAGCGTTTCGTCGAGTTTAATAATATCATATTTTAGAAGTACAGTCAGGGTCAAAATTAAATGTATACTGCACATAATTTAGAATCAATTTTTACACAAAAATGATTTAAAAACATCTAATAAATTTTATACAGTACTATGTAGGTACTATTATATTTATTATTAACCATCAAAGTATGCAATAATATCAATGTGTTTTTTTAATAATCGAAATTATTATTAGTGCATCATGATGAAAAAGTATCTTTAATTTTTTTTTTTATTATACGTAGGTACTAGATTTTAATGGACTAACCGAAATTCAATGACGCATTGGTGATTTTACATAAATTAAGTACATGTCGGTACTAAAATAATACGTAATTATGTACATTAGTGTAACATAAGTTCGAATATAAGGAATTATCTTTATATATAAACATATAAATTACATTTTTAAATATTTCTTAATAATAAATAATAACCGACCGTCTACATATTATAATTATGTATAACCTTTACCTGTGCGTTTCAAACTTATTAATAAAAAGCATTAGAAATTCTTATTTAGACCACTATGTGCTTATTCTAAACTCATGAATTGAAAACCAAATATTATGTATTTTGAATGTATGTATTTTATTTCATGAATGATATATAATTCGACTGGAATTTATGGTGTGTATTCAAACTATCTGATACGTTTTTACGGCCAGTCAGCAACTCTAAATCAATTTAGAATTGATTGTGTCTTAATTTTTAATTCTATTTAGACCTAAGTAACTAAGTACTAGTTACTTAGGTATCTTGTAAGTCTTAATGTGAAACGGTGACTTATTTACAGTATCACCATTATTTTAGGAAAGATTTTTTGTTTTTTCTAACAAATTTTATTCCTCTTTAGGATTACTTACTGAAGATCAATGATGGATTTAATTAAAATAATAAATATTTTGGAAGGCAACGAAATATGCGACGTTAATGCTAATAAAACTAACTATTATCCTAATCTATTATCTTTTATCATTTTAAACATAATGCACATAGGTCGATTGGGATTTGTCAGGTAACTGCACAAAAATGATCGGCACTATTAAGGTTTTGTCTGCGGTACTACCAATGTCGGCATGTATAGTATATAATTGATAGAAGGTCGGGCAACCGAAAAAAAAGTTCAATTAACAAAGAACAGATCCATGTATTGCAATGCATTTTTGCACTCATTTAACATGAATAATAAAATTTTATTTACCCCATCACATTCTACAACCAGGAAATCTTTTGCGAGCACTGGAAAAATTTTGACATAAAAATTATTATTAGTTAATTGAAGAACAAATAATATTTTTTAAAAAGAGTAACGATATAGTTTCTTGCTCGTTCTTCTCCATTCGAATCTACAATTTGGAACGAGCACCTAGCTTCACTTACGAACAGATGATAGACTACTATTCCAGTTTGACGTGATTTGATTTGATTCACTAATAGTAGTGATTATATTATTTAGATTGATGAAGTTATTTTACAAGAAGAATTATTTTAATTTTAAAAGTATGATGTTTAACATTTGCAACAAAACTGATGATTATACTCACTGTGATTTACATAATATGATTAGATTAAAAAAGGTTACATATAAGTAATAGAACAAATAATATATTTTATTTTAAACCATTGTCTTCAAATTAACTCTCTGACTGTACCTGTTCACCAAACTCGACATAAAGGTAATAGAAAGCGTAAAATATCAAGACTTTCCAGAACAATAGACTTCCAGGCTCGACATAACGGGACTCGACGAAAAGGGAATATATCATCTTCCGCTATCGTGGCCCACATTGTCCATGGCGTTCAAAGTGTTAAGAGGTTTTTTAGGTGTTACAGAACACAAAGCTACCTGCAAATCTTTGCTTACAATGAATGCAATAAATCTTAAATCCTTTAGAAGGACGACTCTGCAATATATCTACATTTCTGTATTTCTTTTTCTATTTACTGTATGTGTGATGTGAATAATATTGCCCAGTTCTTTCGGGATACAAACAAAACAGACAGACAAATCACCAAAATTAAAAATCAGACAAAAAATCTAGCAAAATTTATGTTTTTTTTTTATTTGTCACCAGCAAACTAATGGCGTTTCGCAAGGAACATTTGAAAACGTTTACACAGAAGTATGGAGTGAAGCTTTCATTCATGTCTCCGTTTATAAAGGCTGCAGCCAATGCCCTTATGGACCAGCCTGTCGTTAATGCTGTCATCGTCGACGAGGACATTGTTTACCGGTAAATAGTTAAAAACTTTATCTAATAAGGTCTTTTCGTCATTCTAGTTAGTCTTGACCGCTTTTCCTTTTTTTTTTTAGTTTGATTTCGGTTTTTGATCTTCGTTTCCGAGCTCCGAATGATCATAATAATAAGTCCACAGCAACCCGGTATGGGTTACTGTGGACTTATTACATAGCCATATTTGTTTGCCACATTTCGCAATAGTCCTACATCAACCAGGGATTATCTTTAGGTGCACATTCATAGTGCATAAAGGGATAGTTGCCGGCTGATGTCCCATTTCAGTAATATTAAAGTTGTTCAAAGGGCCTCTGCGAGTTGGCTTCTGCCCCTCGTACGCCTTCCAAAGGTCCGAGACCCTGTGGTCCCGTGAATGGAAACGACCACACAAATAATGATCATCATCATCCCCCACCCCATTATTCGCCGCTAGTGTGTCAGGGGTTTTATATTAGTTCTTTAAACGGCCCTAAATTCCTTTTTTAAAAGGTCGTTTTGCAATTTTGCAGAGACTATGTGGACATCTCAGTCGCCGTGGCAACACCTCGCGGTTTGGTCGTGCCCATCTTACGCAACGTAGACTCCATGGACTATCCTAAAATCGAGCTCGCTGTAAACGAGCTAGCAAAAAAAGCTAGGGATGGTAACGTATCAAATTTCTGTTTCATATTTTTACAGGTAGAATAGACTTGATTTTCATCCGTCACTTAGTTCAACCAGTCTTATTTCTCTGTTCTTTCGTCGCTCACGATGCAATAAAACGAAAACTTGACCTAGCAAGACTGGAGAAGTATCAGTTAAACTTAGTGAATATCTTGATGCAGATAATTCCTACCGTTTAGACCTTTGTTAGCAAAAAGAAAAGTTGGAACGTAAACAGGTTTTGAAATAAATGTATCGAGGGTATAAACAATCGGCGCTGCATCTAGGAGTTAAAAGTGCGTTGCCGACCTGTTGGGGTTAGGCGTTTAAGGATTAGGAAAATTAAGGATTGGCAACGTAAGCGTTGTTTCATGTCGGTTTTCTGGGAGGCCGTGCCATAAATCCGGCCCGACCGGCCAATTAATGCCGATTCATGGTTCTCCCATGCTTGAAAACACAGACGTTCACCTAAAACATACTTTAGCTACATCCCGAAGATGTATCGTTGAAAGGTTAATCATGCAGATTAATCTAATTCTAACTATAGGCACAATACGAAACCAATGTATCATTATTCGTGTGATCTGGTCATGTTGATCATGACGGTTTTTGTACTTTATGCTAGTAAATTCAATTCTACCGTCCGTATTTCAGGTCAACTCTCTCCTGCCGACATGCAAGGTGGTACCTTCACGCTGAGCAATGGTGGAGTATTTGGATCGCTGCTCTCAATGCCAATAATCAATCTGCCGCAGTCCGCCATATTAGGCATGCACGCGATCATACAACGACCAGTCGCAGTTTCCGGAAAGGTATGCCCTATAGGTACTTGATCCTTTGGTCATAATGTCAAACTTATTCGAAGGTCCCAAAAGGTCCCAAATCATTTTGGAATTAGTTTTTTTGGAGATTAGCTAAATTAATCGAGGCTACCGTTTTCTGCTCTCTACATGGCGCTGATATTGCATATGGTCATATCTTCATACCCACTGTAGATAGCAAAAATAAAATTTTCAATGACGCTGCCCATTAGCAGTTTCTTTATTGGATAAGTAGTAGATAAGTAGACGCGGGGTGAAGTATCAAATAGGTAAGGTTTCTCTAAAACTGGTCCTTTTTGAAATCAGTACGAATAGCAGCTACCTATTAATAAAGTCTAGTAGGCCATGGCGTAAATGAGAAATATCTAAATACCTGAAAAGGTTTTTATGGAATAAATCCACTTATAGGTAACTTTTTTCCAGATTGAAATCAGGCCCATGATGTACCTGGCTCTAACTTACGACCACAGGCTGATCGATGGCCGCGAAGCAGTTCTATTCCTGAGAAAAATAAAGTCAGGAGTTGAAGACCCCACTTCAATACTAGCAGGGATTTAGTCGTATACGGACAAGTCTAGGTTTTAATCTCACGCAGAGTACCAACGAATTTATTACCTACTACGAAAATTTTGATTGTAATTCCTTTTCGAACTTTGTAACTATACCGAATTTACGTTTCCCAAGAACATCGAAACCTTTGGTTTGGTTAATCCGGAGGTTCCGGTAGAGGTACAGTAATAGTTACCTACGTAAGGACTTCGTAAAGTGCGGTGTTCTGCTCATTACAAGTCCAAAATGGACGATAATGATATTCGATTTTTTAAAATGCCTCATGCGTGGCCTTACTAAAAAGAAATAGGCCATCAGTATTGCCATTTTAACAAAAATGTGAAATAAATTATTATAAACTTTTTTCATGATGTTTTAATTAAATGTCCAAAACCATTCTGACGTTAGAATTCGTTTTTGGATAGAAGGTAGTTTGTGAAACTATAATAGTATTGTTAGAAAAACCGAAACCTATTTATTATCATAAACTATGTCTTGCCGAGGCTACGGGGCAATTAATAAAGTAGAAAAAGGACCAAGCCGGTTTTTATTCAATAAGAGTGACTCTTCCTTCCGCCTTAGGCTAAGAACTCACGGAGCGATTTTGAACCGTGCCCGCCGCGGTAGCGGAACTGCGGTTTTATTTTCAAACTCACGAGACCGGTTATTTGCGCGGTTACACAGCCGCCGCGGTTGCGATCATCGCCCGCAAACGTGGCGGGCGATGATCGCAAGATTGCAAGACGGGCGGTTAACGATCAGTTGAGGTCCAGACCGCCATGGACACAGACCAGAAACGAGCCTTTGCGTTATATTTACTTCACAGAAGACCCGCCGGCCCCCGCGGTCGCTCGCCAACCGATCGCAAAGCGCGCGGGTGCCACCCGCCGAGGCTGCGGGTAACCGCGGCTTGCGCGATTCTACTAGTTGCCCGCCGGTACAGCGGGAGCCGCATACAACCGCGTACACCGCGGGCGTAAAACGCGTCGTGAAATGTGCTTAAATTTTTTATATAAATATTTGAATCCTACAGAAGCTGCGGGCCCGCAACCGCAGCGGACGCGGGCGAAAATCGCTCCGTGAGTTCTTAGCCTAACCATGGGCGAGACGCCGTTTGACGATTAATTATATAATTATAACTACTTTTCTGGGTATAACCATAGATGACAAACTACAATGGGGGCCCCATATCACATCTCTGGCAGGACGGTTGAGCTCTGCAGCATTTGCTGTCTGGAAGATCCGACAGCTAACAGATGTGGACACTGCAAGACTGGTGTACTTCAGCTACTTTCATAGCATTATGTCGTATGGCATCTTGTTGTGGGGACAGGCTGCTGACATTGAGTCTATCTTTGTCTTGCAAAAGCGTGCCATCAGAGCTATTTACAATCTAAAGCGTCGTGAGTCTCTTAGAGAAAAGTTTAGAGAGATCAATATTATGACCGTGCCATGTCAGTTTATTTATGAAAACATTATGTATGTTAGGAAAAACTTAAAAATATTCGATAAGGTGTCAGATAGACATAATTATCAAACTAGACATAGAGATAGATTATGTCAGCCATTATTTAGATTGGCAAAGGTACATAAGTCGTTCATGGGATTCTGTGTTAAATGTTATAACAAAATCCCAGGCGAAATACAACAATTAAATGAAAGAAATTTTAAATTATGTGTAAAGAAAACTTTATGTAGAAAAGCATACTACACACTGAATGATTACATTGTAGATAAAGATGCTTGGAGACATGCTGGTCCTGCTCCACAGGATAGCAAACGTACACCAAATTAAATAACGTTCCAATGGATTTTGCTTGAACGGGACTTCTTCATTTTAGTGAAATTGCATTATATTGTATAACTATAACTTGATAAATTTGTAAATGTGAGTGCCCTGTAACCTATTACAATTGGTTAGACTAGCAGAATGTCGGTCCTTGTAACAGCTTGGAGTTGTCATGCTCACTGAAAGGTCACACTGACGGTGGCATGGGCACTGGATCGCTTAATTCCCTATAATATGGTTGAGTTGGGCGATGCTGGTGTACGTGTCATGCTCGTGAACGAGCGCCATCAGTTGGGACTGGTCAGCTCCAGACTGTCTATTGTCCTTAAGGTTACTTTATTTTTATATTTGAATAAATATTAGTGTTACACTGTTCTCACATAATTGAACCAACTGTTTGTAAAAGGAATCTGTATGTGAAACTGATTTAAAAAGAGTAACCATGGAGTTTCTTGCTCGTTCTTCTCCATCGGAATCTACACTTTGGAACGAGCAAATAGCTTCACTAAGAGGACTGACCGACAGACTGACACTATTTTTTATTTTAAAATTTGTTTGACGTTCAAAAGTGCCTGTAAAGGTCTAATTGGAATAAATGATTTTTGACTTTTTTGACTTTTGAATTATCCCTCTCAAAAAAATCTGTAGTAGGTGGGTATATAGGTAGATAACATTATCTTTATTAGAAATATTTACTTCTGATATTAGAAAATCATTAGTAGATAACAATTCACTTCTTTATTTTAGAAAATCAATAATCTAAGTTGATTTAGGTTTTTTTTTAATAACGTTGCCCCACTTTAGGATTTTCTCTTGTGTTGTGGGTGCGTTTACAAACATACAATGTCACTTACACATGACACCCAGACCCGAAACAACTATTTGTGGATCACACAAAGTGTTGTTCCGTGCGGGAATCGAACCCGCGACACGTTGCTCGGCAGCCAGTTGCCCAGCCACCGCACCAACCGTGCAGTCAGAAAAAAACAAAATGAAAAGGCTACAAAAACTACATTGCACCTATATGGTTACCATCCAAATAAACTTACAGAAACAGGGTAACTTAGTTTAACTTTCGGATGAACACACAAATTATGCCACTTCAAAAGCTCCTGACCACTCTTTATATTAAGACTTTCGCACCACAGCAGTTTTATTTGCCCCCTAACATAACCTCTCTGGACTGGACCACGAACTCCTTACTACAAGTTTAGTGTGAGAGACCCGTGCTTCGGCACGAATGGGTCGGCTCTACCAGTGATACTACCGCCTCACAGAAATAATCAGTGTGAAGCAACCACAGCGTTGCGTTTGGCCGAGTGAGTGAGATTACTGGAGGCCCAATCCTTATTCTTCCAACGCACACGCAATTACTCTGGGCGGCGTCGATTGCTTACCATTTGATAATCTGTCTGCTGAACAAACTACAGCACATACTCCGAAGAAGACACATCTTAGCTTCTTCTAGCCGCGTCTGTACCTGAGAAAACTAGATTGAGACTTCGCGTCAGTCGGTGGTCGCCAATCACATATCGACTAATGATAAATTGTTATACTTATTGCTTCCCAACTATGTCGAATCCGAATCCAATTAGGAACCATGATAATACAGGTCTACTTATAGATTATGGAATAGCAGCCATTAAAAGTCAACTTGTGCATCGCAAATATTATGACGCACTGCCTAAGTGCCCTAACCTAAAAGCATTGTTGTACTGAACCCGCGAGGCGCTGACGAGTCAGACGACCCGCTGCGTATAGATGACCTAGGTACAGTCTACACGCTTATTAGGATTAGCAGCCTCGCCGAAACACCAGGGCAAGAGTACGCTTTTGTTAACATTGCATGTCAATCTGTGTTCAAGCTTACTAGGTATATAATAATTATAATAGATATACATAGCTACATAAAATTGCGAAAAATCTTTAGGTATACAAAGTCGATTAAAAAAGAGTAAATAGACATAGTTTTTGCTCACAGGCACTGTGTGTTGTACGATACAATTTGAAAAATTATTTTTCTAATAAGTAAGTAAGCTGGGTGCTGGAATATGGTTCTATCACTATATAAAACACTTGTACTAAATAACAACAAACTGTATGAATATTAATTAGTGAAAGAAAGTAAACTGTATAGGTACCTATTTTTGAAATGAGAAAAGCGCATCTAATATGAACGCATCTATAGGCCGCCGGTTGCCTGTGTTGCTCTATGCATAAACTAAACTAGCGGAAGGCAATAAAGGTTTGTAGATAAAATAAAAATATTATGAGTTATGACATTAATTAGATTTAAATTATTTTATTGCGAGTCAAAGCAATCAAATTATTCTATGAATAATCCAAAAACCTTGCAACTTCTATGAGACCTGACAATTTGAAGTATTTATTTTTGATTTTGACTTTGACATTTTTATTGCTGGCAAATATCAACATTTAATGTCAAATGGATTCCATGTCCGTGTATGTATTTTTATTCGGCGCGACAATTGATCAAACTTGTTTTTCTTGTGATTATCAACTTATTTGGTGCAACAAGATACACATTTCAAACACTACAATTAAGTGAAATCTTAGTGTCGATGTGTTGTGGCTAAATATGTGTTAGTTGTGAAATAATGAGGCGAGGTCATCCTGGCATCGGAGGATGGCGAAGTGAAAATCAAAGGCATTTTAGGCCTAGAGGCAATGGACCACCACGATTTAGAGCTCCTAGGAACTATCCTTTACTTGAAAACCCCAGGTGAGCATATATAAACTATGTATCTCGGCTAAAGCGAGTATAGCTTTACTGACGCGCCAATATTTCATGCACCTTGAAATATAAAAAATCTTTGTATGTATATATGACAAAACGTCAATTAAACTCCTAAATTGTAGATCATAGAGCATATATTCTGAGTTAATTGAATAAACCTTATCAATTTCTATTTATCATGTTTTCATAATTGATAAAATGATGCATTTCAGATTCCCGCCACCCAACTCACGTTCTAGCCAAAGAGGCACGCATCCTTACACAGCCCATGGAGGACATTCAGAGGACCATGGTAGACAAGAACACCATGAAAGACATAAATACAGAGATGGCCATCACCAAATTGATCAAAGAACGTCAGACAGAGAGCAACATCAACGGCCAAGACAAGGTTACCAATATACACATCATAGAGACAGGTCCAAAGATAATACATATAAAGGTTCGTCTAGTTTCTATAATGATGTTCAGCCTGAGGCTTGTCATGTCAACAGTATGGGAGACATAGACCATCGACTTCCACCACATGGCCAACAAGATACGTTTAACCAGTCACGAATACCACAGTGGACAAATCCACCTCCTGAATACAAAAAGCGGGCTTATGAAGACAGAAATCAAAAACCTTATAGACATGATTTTTCAGAAAGGAATAAGGTACCTGCTGTAGATTATACTGATTACACTGGTCATAGGCCACCAGCGTCAGACCACTATGGCAGTACTTCTGGACCAGTTAGCAGTACTAATAACACCTCATTTAGTCGTTCTGTTGATGATACTGTAGATATAATCAGGAAGAGGTTAATGAATCGCAATGACCCCCAGACATCTCAAGATGAATCTGCCCCTCAAGGAAACACCGAGCAAGTGGTGAGTGAAAATGTAATTCCACAGGTTCAGCCAGAGCAGACGCCTAAAAAGAGAACTCCAAGACAAAAACCTAATGTTAAATCAAATTGTGATAAGATGAAATCACATATTGTTCATCAATTATTTAAGATGGATAAAGACAAAATGCACAAACTGATGGATGATCCGGGTTCCTCAACGAAATTTGAATATGCAATCAGTAGCTTAATAACTGAGTCACAAAATAGTCTAAATCGCCACTTAAGATCTGTAGCTGAGAAATCTCTGTATAGTTCAAGCTCTGAGTTCATACAAAATGATAAGAATACCATCTATGAGGATACTTTCATGAAACAAATGCAATGTCTGTTAGACCCACAGGATACTGTACTACTTGAGGATATTAAGCCAATTGTTATGGCCGAGCTAAGCAAAGTACTTCAGATTTCAGATTTTGACCAAAGGTATGATACACCTGAGGAACAAGTTCCTCAACAGACAGCAGATGACCAATCAAATTACCTCTATGGAGATATTTACAATTATGATGAATACACACAAGACAGATGCTATGATCAAAGCCAAACATCATCAATTAATTATGATAATCTAAATAGAGTTGATATTGTAGATGGAAGCAGTGTGAATTATGATTACAATCCACAATATGAAGATGTAAAGCCTTTATTTGAGAGGCGCCCATCAAAACGGATTGACTCCATTGAAGATAGGCGTCAGAGTATAGAAAGCCAAAGGAAAAATCTGAGGAAAAGCTTAGAAAATCCTGTTGAGGAACCTTTCAAAGGCAAAGAAGATCCAATGCCTCTTTTCAATAGTTCAGATCCGATTTCTGAAGATGAAGATACATTTGCTGAGCTAGACCGTCAGTATCATGTGGCTGTCGACCATAATTTCATTGAGAATGATGATCTCTCAGCTAAAGATACTCCAACCAATTTTCTGCCTGTTCAAAATGAAACACCACAAGTTAATAATGAAATTCAGAATCAATTACAAACAATTGCTCAGGCTCCTATAAATTTATTCCCAGTCAGTAGTACAGAAAGTCTTAGAGATTTAGCTATTAAAATTAAACAAGAAGTGTATAGTTGCGAATCTCGTGATGAAAATACGCCGTCGAGGGCCCAACCAGCACCAAAAACTCCTGAAAACAGTGTTCATAAAATGAACATGAAAATAAAACAAGAGCATGTGCCTCAAGCTAAAGATACTGACAAAGAGACTGAAAAAGCGGGTAGCTCACATACTATTAAGACACCTCCATCAAGCTCGAGAAAACGGCCAACTGACCAAAAACCTTCTCACCGTAAAGAAAAACGAAAGAAAAGTAACAGCAGCCAACCAGAACCAACAAAGACAGATAAACCTAGCAGCTGTAGTATACCTAGCACTAGTAGTACCTCATCTAAGTCAACAGAAAAGTGCAATGATGCCCCAAAGCCTTATTTTAGTATTTTTACAAATAAAGATGAATCTTCAAAAGAATCTAAAGATAGCAAAAAAGCTGATGCAGCTGATAAAAGTTATTCTGATAAATATGTCAAGAGGAAAGAACATCCTAAAAAGCAAAAGGAGAAAGGTAGTGAATCAAGTAGAAAGAGACATTCTAGTACATCAAGTCAAACTATTTTAAGTCCTAAAGATAATCAAACTCCAACTAAACCTGACTCTAGTAAAAATAAACTTAAGACTTTTGATATGTTTGTAGAGCAGCCCAAAAAGACAGTAACTATACACCAAGCACACAGAAACACAGCTACTGCTGTAACACCTACCAAAGCCCCTGAGGATGCACTAAAAGTAGGCACCTCGACTCCTGCACGCCATAAGACGCCACAGACAAAACATGCTGGTACACAAGTCATTCGAAGGCTGATAGCAAAAGAGACGCAAACAAATCAAATTAAAAGTACCGGTGTCCATGCCACTAAATTTACTCAAACAGAAAGAAAGAAATTTGTTGCAAAACATGTCCAAACTGACCCTATCATAATCAAACATGCCCAAGACGAGGCCGGAGGTACGTCAACAGCACTGTCTAATCCAGAAGATGTTATTGACAGGATGAAAGAAATCGACTTGGAAATCCAAATATTATTACAAGAAAAATTCAAACTGTACAGTTCTCTAGAAAATAAGGACGCTTGTTCAAGCAGCATGCCCACTCTTGGTATGACTGTTCTGAACGTAACTACTAATGATAATGAGGAAAATAAGGAATGTGACGAAAACGACGCATTGTCGGATAATTTAATAAATGCTGACTCGATCGTAGATGATTTCACGAACATACCTGTAGAAGAATTAGAGCAAATAGCTATGGAGACTGTACAAGAAGATAGTTCAGATTCAACGAAAGTGGGAAAAAGAAATTTACGACCTAAAGTTCATCAACAAGAACGAAAACACTCTGAAAGTCCCACGACTAGTATGACTAGAAGAAGTCAGAAAACGAAAACGCCAAACATATCTCTTATAGAACAGATAATTACTGATGACAGACCTCTAGAAGATATTATATCATTAGACGATCTGGAGGAGCCGCAAGCTAAAAACAAAAAGAAATCTCAAAGACCGCAGCCACAGTCAAAGAAAAAAATGACGAGAAGGACTACTAATACCAAGCCTTTAAAATATTTGAATACATCTGCCTTTGATTTGAAAGACTGTTCTGTGGTTCTAATACAGACTGATGTGACGAAGTTTATTAAGGAGGGATCACAGATATATCTGCACTCTGAGTCTTCTCAAAACTCTCATCACTCCCAGTCCTCGCAACACTCTGAACACTCCGAGTCCCCTCCACGCTCTCAGGCGATGGACTCCTGTGAACCGTCCCTGCACTCGCAGCCTCCTGACCAGCCGCAGATTCAGCAATCCGACGAAGACTCACGATGTTCAGATCCTTCTGCTAGTCCTGACCTGGTGGAGGTTTATAGTATCGAAGAAACTTTAGACAAAGCTCCCACAAGTCAGCTAGAGGAGACTGTTGTAAATGATCTCCAATTCGATATGTTAGATGTATCTGAAGATATAGTTATAGGGGATAATTGTGAAGTTAAGTGTATTGAGGATAAAGATATGGAACGTGGGACCATTAGTGAGGATGTGATACTGGATAACAGTCAGTCGTCTGCTGACGAAGCTGTCGCTGCGAGTATGGGTCATGTGGAGAACGAGTGCAGGACTTATGACTATTCCACTGACGAGCAGCTGCGACGTGACTCCATTACCGTCACCGGGAATGCAGACGCCGTGCTAGCTGTCGAAGTAAGTAATTCCTTTTAATTTAGTATTACCAAAACATTATTACCGAATAACATTATTTATGACGTCATAAAATAGCTATTTGTACACAAGTCTACAATATTGTGTCAATACTCATTCATCAAAAGAAAAAATAGCCATAAACATTGAACTATATTTTTTCTTTAATAAGGTTTTTGCACAAAATTTCACTGCTATACTTTGTCTTATTTCACTAAATCAATGGGCAATGCATAATGTTTTATATAAATTACAGTTAATCGCAATACGAAATTCAGTGAAATTATTTCTAATAATTGTTGGAAAATGACGTAATTGTCACGCCCATGTTTCCTAGAAAGGTTGGGCTGATGTATCATAAAATACGCCCCAAAATAGTAATAAGTATAAATTATCAAAAATGATGTTTATATCTATGTTTGATATAGGGTAAAGAAACGTTATTCTATTATTCAAATATTTTTAACAATACATTTTTATGTTTAAACTTAGATTTGTGTATAAATCTAGTTTAATTGAGAAAATTAACTAACAAGCTAATAGCAAGCTTCATGATAATAACTGTATTATGTACCTACCTGTGATCTACAATTAATAAATGAATTTGAATTTGAATTTGAAAGCTCCAAGCTAATAATAATCTTTAACATTTCCAGTGCATAGAAAATGACTTCATAGCAGCGTGTTTGGACGGCAATGTTTACCACTTCAGCGGTGACGGACACCTGCTGAACACGTTGCGAGGGTCCAACCTTGCAGTCACCTGCATCACCATCGTCAAGGAGAAGGGTGGCACTACGGTGTACACAGGATCCCTAGACTCCAGGATACGATATTATGATTTGGAGGTGAGTTTAACATGTAACATATTTTTTTGCTTTTCATATCCAAAGAATGAAATAAAATAGGAGCTTTATTACTAAAACTCCGCTATGAGTCCGTCTGAATGTCTGTCTGTCACGCTTACCAAAAAAGGACAGCGTTGTTTCGCTGAGTGAGGTTACCGGAGGCCCAAGATTTCTTATCCTCCCCTCCCTCCACAATCCCAAAATCTTCGAAACTATAATCCCCAAAAGGCCGGCTACGTACTCGTAATTCCTCTGGTGTTGCCCCAATTCCTTAACATCTGGTAACGACATACCAAATGAAAAAATTCTTTAACAAAAGTAATGACATCTTAAAAGCTACATCTGAATACGTAACCTTCTATTATCGAAAGAAACACAATCCTAAGTATGAGTATTATAAACGCGAAAGTTTGCAGTAAGTGAATAAAATTGAAAACAAAAAAATAATAATTTGAAATAACACATAGGGTTCTTTTAACCCTTTTAAAAATAAAGTATATACATATAAATACCATAGTTGCATGTTTAGTACACCCACATTCAACATTACATACAAAAATAAAGAACAGAATATCTCTGCTCTATAAATAAATACTGAACAATCGATTCTAATCTATATATGGATCCTATTATGTATATACCAGTGGCATATTCAAGGCTACATGCATTAGCTCATAGTTTTGAATATTTTAAAGTTTAGAATGGATTTATCAGCGTCGACGACAGCAATATCCGGTGTCATCCGGAGATAAACAGATAATGAATGATAACAGGTTTCGATGTCATGATAGTACAAGCGCATTCTGAAGTTTGAAATTTCAGTAGATAACAAAAAAACAGATTATATATTTGCAGTTGTTTGTTTTGGTGATACTGGTATCCATAGGCAGTGTCAGTGGCCTACCATCAGGCGATTTGTTCTCATTTAAGGCCCACTTCACAAAAGCTAAAAATTTTATAGTAGGTCGCGCTTTCACTCCCTTCTCGGCTCCCTTTTATAGTGCCGTGATGTTTTATAGCCAATAATAGCACTCAGAAACATTGTAGCTATCAAACAGTAAAAGAATTTTCGAAATCAGACCAACAGTGCCATTGATCCTACACACACTACTACAAACTTGTAATTTACCTCTTATATAATACTAGCTTATTCCCGCGACTCCATTCGCGTAAAATAGTGACTTCCTGCAGATTTTTTGTATAAAACTATCTTATGTCCTTTCTCGAGTTCCAAACTATGCCTGTACCAAATGTCACAGAAATCGGTTCAGTAGTTGAAGAAAAGTCAGACAGAGTTACTTTCGCATTTACAATATTAGTTTGCATTAGTACACATTGAATTCACTCTGTGCTTAATGAGATATTTTACATTGTTTACCCTATTTATTTACATAGTTTTTGTCTCATATTTCAGACTGGTCTGGAAAAGGGTCCAGAATGCAATGTTCTCAGTCCGATTCAGACAATGGACCGCGCGTGGGACACTGTCTTCGTTGGCACGAGGACTGGATTTGTACTGCAGTTTGAATGTAAGGTGAGCATCTCAATATAATCTTAACAGTTTGAACAGAACTTACGTCACGAATAACATTATATAGTGGCCTGGAGGTTAAAACGTCTTTTTCTCACACATAAGGGTGCTTTGGTGAGTGGCATTTATATATATAATACGAAACCTGACAAGTACCAATGTGACTTTTTGAATAAACCATTTTAAGATTATCTAGAATTCTAGACACCACTGACATATGGTGAAGGTAAACATCATGGTGTAACCTGAACCTAATATCAAATCCGCCTTAAACAAGTGTGGTGAATGCCAGAATGCGTTATCGATGTCAGAAAAGGCCTCTGCCCCCGATGGCCTTTAATGCTGGAAAATGAACCTGCTGCAGAGCAGACTAGCTCCCCATTCTGGTTTATCAAAGCCCTAAGCTCTTACTGGCGAAAGAACTGACTAAGGTCAGCCCTTCAAGAAGAGCAAAGGTGATGACAAAATATATTCTACTTCACCATCATCATTCATCCATCCATCCACCGATGAATATGATGTGAACAGATTATGAGAAAAATGTTATTTCATCATGAAGAATGATAGAAAGAAGTGATAATTTCCCACAAAGTCCTGGAACAATAAACAGTGAATTTATATATTGTCCTTTTTTTTCAGAATAACATGTTAATACCAGTGAGTACAGTGAAGTTCTCCGACCAGTCGATCCTGGCGCTCCGTGCCATGAAGGAGGGACCTCGCAAGGTCCTACTAGTAGCTTCCAGATCTGAAGATGTTACCATCAAGGATGCACAGTCCGGGCTACTGCTGAGAACGCTCTCTGGGCCCAAGATGACAGTGTACACTCTTCTTTTTGAAGACGGGAAGGTGTACTGCGGAACTAGCAGCCATCAGATACATGTGTTCGATTATGCTGTAAGTTTAAACTGTGTTTTTAATCTTCACTGCTTATATACTTTAAAAAGTCGATTGTTCTAAGTGAGACTGCTAAACAAAGGGATTTAATTCTAAGTGAGGTAGTAGTGGTGTATTATCGTCGATACTTTGTAATTTCCTTGTATTGTGCCTTTTGTGGCAATAGAATCATGGCCATAACATAAAAATTTGAAGAAAAGTGAAGTACTTCACTTCTGAAAAGAAGTTCTTCTTCAGGAATAAAAAGGGATTGTAACCAATCTAATTATCATATTCATGCATATTAGATCACACATTACACTGTAATTAAAAATAATCAAATGTAATATGTTACCTATGTACCACAAATAAAGATTTCATTCATTCAAATTACAGAGTGGAAGTCATACGGGTTGCCATGAAGGTGGTAAGGGAGCGGTGTGCCTGCGAGCGACCGGCGGGCTGTTGTTCGCGGGGTGTTACGACGGCTGCGTGTACGTGTACAGGGAGGGAGAGACCAGGCCGCTCGCGCAACTTAGAGGACCTAGCCTTATGTTGCTATCGCTCGCCATTGTCGGGAGCAAGGTGAGAAAACATTATAATTAAATACCTAGGTACTGTCTGGCTTTGCCCACATTATGCGGAAAAACTATAGACTATGTGTATTCCAGACTATAATCTATCTCTGTGTCAATTTTCATCGAAATCCATTCAATAGTTTTTGCGCAAGTGTAACAAACATGCACAGCGGTCATGCTTTTGTGAAGCGGTCATGCTCGCAAAGAGAGAGACGGCCCGCGTGAGGGAGCAATCCTCCTCCTCACGCCCCAGCAGCCGCAACTGGCGACACTACGGGCGTCGGGGATCGAGGGACGATCTCCGGCCACCGTAAGTACGGGCCTGCGGTCGGCAAGTAAGGGCAGCTCGCCGCCCGACCAGAACCAGGCCCGAGCGTACGGCGCGTAGCGTTCCGCGCGCGCCTCAAAGAGCCAATAGACCACCACAGACGGGGCCCTAAAGGGCTGATGTTCAGCCGGGGCTGCGGGATAAGCGCAATAAGGTACCGCGACCTCGGCACAGAGCAGGAGAAGGAACAGGGGGGTTTTTAGTCAGTAAGAGTCTGACACTCCCTCCTGCCCGGCCCTGGGCGGGAGAAGTCATTTGATGATTTTCCCCTCACAAAAAAAAAAAAAAAACCCCAAAGCTTTGCATTTAAAATATTAGTATGATGTTATGAGTTATAGTCGGTATTTGTTCTATACTTAGTCCAAGATCGATATTAACACGTTAAGCGCCATGGGGGTCACCGCCGCCTCCGCCGGCCACCTCCGTTAGCGGAGGGTTTGCCTTCAACAGTTTTCTGCCTGCAGTCAAAGGCTGAAATACTAATCTAACCGTCATGCACTTTTTTTCAAATATTCCATGAAATTCGAGATAGTTCTTTGAGAAAATAATTTGGTAGCTTATTTTGGCATGTTGTTTTCATAACTGTGTTGCCATTACTATTGACTAATAAAACAATTTTGTTTTTATCTGTTACAGATTATCGCAGGATACAAAGACAGAAGTTTGTATATATGGAAGATACCATTAAGTATACTACAAGAAATGATTTTATAAGTTTTTAATTAAGTGTTGTAGATTAAATCTCACGTTTACCTTAATGTTAAATGTATTCCGTGATTTGTTTGGTTTGAGCCAATGTGTACATATTATTACATAAAATAAAAGGAGTTTAATAAGTTTTATAGTATTAATTTCCTTTTTATTGCACTTAAGTTGCGTTCACGCATGAGGCGAATATATTCATGTATTTGTGATTTTAATAGAGTGGTAGATAGTAATACTAAGCTTGTGTCCAGAAATTCACTAAATTATTTACAAATAGTTTGTCCATGTCATTTTTATCTCTGAATGTGTAGCAAAAAAGAAGCAGAATAATATTAATACAGAATAATTTGTGGTATTATTGAAGATTAGCAGTCGATGCTATTCCGAAAGTTCATTAACAATCCGTTTTACGTTATCCACTTTATTGTCTAACAAAAAGTGTACTTTGGGCTCAATATCTTATAAGTTATTACTCATCATTTAAAATCTGCAAATATTACAAAAATAAACAATTCGTTTTGAGCCATTTGAGGTCCAAGTATATTGTGATTTTAGAGAATAGTCCGCAGTTTAAAAATTTTTGCAACCAGAGGGCTGGCTATTTTGAGGCGTACAGAGTTGCCTTGCGTGTGTAGGAATATTTTCAATCTTATAAACTTTCCTGATGACAATAACGTAGAGGAACAGTTATTTGACTGAACATATCATTTGTCTGTTTTAATTCTTGTATAGTCGTTTATTATACTTGGATAAGTGTGTACAATGAACTTGTTTGATTTATTAATGAGTCTGTAGTCAATTTTTTAAGAATAAATAATACAGATATAACCTTTTTATTCTTCTTACCCTACCTACCCTATATATATAAGTAGCAGGAATCGCATGAAACAAGGAAGCCTGTAAGTACAGCTTGCTGAAAACTATAACAAATTAAATTAAATATCAGTACAGGAAGTACTATCCGAAATTTTAAATCACGCAGTTTGCGTACCTGTTTGCACAATATACAAATAAATAGTATTAATACAATTAAACAACAGTTTACTTTAGCAATCATAATGATTTTTAGGAAATTAGACTTAGTAATAAAAATCAACAAGAAACAAAATAATTTAGTCGATTAATTAGTTCGAGTAGATTTCCGAACGTGACTTAGTTTCTGCCAAGTGGCACTCCTGTTTAAATTTCTGACTTACGTCAGTGGGTGTTTCGGACGGCGGCCATTATTCTACGTATAATTATTAATTTTTTTGCTGTTTTGTGCTAGAAACAAAGAACGTAACTATTTTCGACATATTCTATAATATTATAGTTTTGGAAAAAATACATTTATAGTACAAACATGAATCCAGAATAGTAAGTATTTTTATTACTTTTAACATGGCGATTTAGAAACAAGGATGGTGTAGAAAACCCATCTTTTTTGCGTGTTCATTGTCTTTACGTCGAAATTGTTTCTTATAACTCATGCTTCACAATATGCGAGTGGGATAAATGTGCCAATAGTAAATTAATTTACTATAAATTGGGTGAGTCATTGTGTATTCGTGGTAGGTAGGTATTATCGAAGTATTTGTGAAAACGTAATCGTATGTATCATGAATGGCGCATTAGTGAGTGATGATTGTACCAGTGGTCACTTCCTGGTTCTTCTAAACTGGATGCATGTCGAACAACCAAAGATTTCCCACTCATCGAACTCTTTGTTATATGGAACAAAGCAACGCCTCCCTTCGTTTATCATTTACGTTTATTGATGCGCATCGCTCGTGCTGTCCTTGAACAAGTGAACTCGGAACTGTTACAGACCACTAAAATCGTAATGTGTTCTCTTTCAGCGATTATTTGTTCAAACTACTCCTGATTGGTGACTCTGGTGTTGGCAAGTCATGTCTGCTGCTCAGGTTCGCCGACGACACCTACACAGAGAGCTACATCAGTACTATTGGTGTGGACTTTAAAATTAGGACTGTAGACTTAGACGGCAAGACAATAAAGTTACAAATATGGGACACAGCTGGGCAGGAGCGGTTTAGAACAATCACTTCATCATACTACAGAGGAGCACACGGAATTATCATTGTTTATGATTGCACAGATCAGGTAAGTCAACTAAACAACAACAAACATGACAATGACACCAACATTCCACAAGCCACAAACATTATTTCTACACAAAACCAGTTCTATTACTATAAAAATAAGACCTATCTTTTATGACTTACTTATACCCTATTAATTTTCAAAGTTGGTGCCACTGGAAGTGGAAACACTAAATATAACAGCTATTAAAAGGAGGCTATTCAACCTCCTTTGTTGGTTTTCATAATATCACAGTGGATGAATCAATGACATCAACAATGATATAAACTTGGTGTGCTATTTAATATTCAGACAATTCAATGATTAATAAATTACAACTTAGCATCATACTCTAGACTCTAGACAAAAGAAACAACCTGACTTACAATATAAAAAATGCAATTAGTTATTTGGAAACTAATTAGATAGGTTAGAGAATAGATTCAGTATTTTTTATCTGTACTGTAAGCTAGAAAGTTGCCGCAGAGAATTTGATCTGAAAGTATCTCTGTAAAAAGAGGTGGTTCTACATTATTACTTCTTGTACTTTTTTAGCCAATTATGTTGCTATTACATATTTGTTTACGTGTTTTATAAATACTAAATTAATTAATGTGCATGCTATTTTAAATATAAATTAACAATTTCCTTTTCTCAGCTTTCCTTAAAATTATAGTTTTCAATGTATTAATGAATTAAGAGATTTTATGGTCCCATTAGTTTGTGGTTAACTTTTGCTGCCAGATATGTATTGGCTATCATCATTTATTAGCATTATTTTATTTTAATAGCTACACTAAAATAATAAGTTCTTATAACTAAACTGCAACTTAGTAACTATTTGATTATATCAATCTACAATCAAACAACAAAGATCAGACAAAGGAGCATTAATACTATTGTTCATAATGACTTACCATGCCATTTATTGATATGCCAATATTATATACTTACATTTTATATTATTTTAATCTAATATAATTTTGACTGATTAGTATTTTAGAGTTTTTTAATTTACATAAGACTCAATGTCTGGTGAAAAGTGGCACAGGTAACCCTTTAAGTTCTTTTACTTGAAAAGGAATATCATAGTCTCTTTTTTCAGTCAATGTTGATTTAATACATACTTATTACTACATCCCGGCTTCAAAGGGGTGCATTGCTTATACTAAATTTGTCCAGTATTTGCTAGATTAAATTGTGAACAAGTTTATTATATCATATGATACATATAAATTTTCCTCTGCAATCACTCTGTCTATAAAAAATATAGCTTCAAAATCAGCTTTTCAAAATCTTTGTTTGACATAGAGATAAGGACAGAGAAAGCGACTTTGTTTAATACTATGTAGTGTAGATATTTTTACTAAAATACTGATCTACATGTATTTAATAGTATATATTAAATACATGTATTTTATAGTATAGTATTTATTATAAATGCTATGTAAATGTGACTAATTGACGCGTGGTCTAGTGGAGTCGTATAAGCAGATGAAGTACGCGACAGATGTTCCATGCTTACGTATTGTGACAAGGCGGGATGTCGCCGCGTGTCGCTTACTGATTACGAGTAATCGATGACGCTGATATTTAAAAAATAGAATTTCATTTGAAATTCGTCACCATAGAATTGCTTTTTTTTGTGACACCAACGCATTGTACTTATTATTTCTTAGTACAATAAATATTAATAATGCAGTATTAAAACAATTAATGTATGTCACCTTACTTACATCGTAGTTTTTTCATGTTTGTATTTTCCTGTTTATTTGTTCTTACATTCTGTCTGTGTGTAATTAAGTCTCGAATGATATGCGTGTAGGCATATTGTTAGAATAAAATCAGACCCCTAAATAAAATCAGGTAAAATACTATGTTGAAGGATTTTTTTAAATTGTTATAAGTAGCAGTTTGTAGTCAATGCAAATAAACAAAAATAAAGACTTTTCTCTCTAAAATTAGTTCAACAAATGAAGCAGGTGTTTAATCACTGTAGGTACTGTATAGATAGTATTATGTGATAGAACACACAATTAGTTTGATAAACAAAAATGCCAATTGCATTAGTCTCAGTGTAGGAAGTATTTGATTGACGTGTTTCTATCAAGAAGCAAGTTTGTCTGAGTCACTAAGATAATAGTGCTTACTAATTATTTGTACTCAGTACCTTGTTTGTATGTTTTTTACTCCTAAACTACTGAATCGTATTTGTTAAAGCCCTATATTGATAGTAGAGGCGTTTATAATGTTGTTACAAGAATGAAAATATAGTTATTGAAATGATTATTTCGTATGCATAACGAACAAAAGTGTCCTGTTGTTTATAGATATGTTAATAATACAATGCAGCTCACTGTTCGCATAAAGCATCTTAATTGATTCGGTTTTCCATGTTAGTATAACAATTACTCTGTCATCATCACAAACTTTCCTGTTAATAAACCGTTTTTTTCTTTAATAGACATCTTCCTGTCGATAAACTCCTTTCTCTTTCATATGAGTTTCACACAATCAATCTTTCATCTGGTCGTCCTTTATTCCAAATTTATGTATGCTACTTATTAAGTAGGTCCTTTTCCAAGAGTATTTTATGACCGATATAAATATAGTGCAAGTGAAAATGACTTATGGAAAACGGCCGCGGCGGTTGGCACGTGTCCAACTACCAAATACTCTTTGGTACCCACTCACAATTTGTAAACAATGACGGGCTCTGCTAATCATTCAGCTGCCTAATAAGCTTTGTTTACATTAATTTGAACTTCATTTAGTCGCTAGTTTAGTTCTAAAATAATTCTCTTTGCTATGTTACTCTTCAGTCGTGGTATTTCGCGACACAATAAAAGAACACTAGATGCGCAAAAGCCGGCGTTCGCTTGAAATTTGATTTGAAAAATTCACTGCTTATGGATCTCTTCTGCTAATACTTATCATATATTGGCGTGATGCTGACTTCTGCTCTTATCTACATCTACATATAAATGTTCAAATGATTTTCCTCTAAACTCTGTAAGTACCGAAATAGTTTTTATCTCAAGTCCGGTTTAATCACAATTTACATACAAAAACGTGACCAATATGCAAATGTGGTTATTTACAAACATTCAAGTCGATGGTAACTTAGTTCTAGTCGTAAATATAATGGTCAGGGTTATAAAAAAACACAGTTTTTTCTTTGATAGTTACTGTGTTTAACGAATCAGCTTTAAAAAACAACATTGGGTAAATAAATCCTAATAGGAATAATCAACTAATCTTTTTAGA